CGAGTTCACTGACCTTCACACTGTTGGGGGGCCAGACTATACTTTGAAAAAATATGAACAAATTCCAATTCACACAGCACATATCTTATGTGTAGTGCAAAAAAACAAGAAAAAAACAATACAATATCTAAAATGCACTGTACACTGTAACGCACTTGATACCGCAATGCACTGTACACTGTAACACACTGGACACTGCAATGCACAGTACTTTGTAATGCACTGGACATCAAGATGCACTGTACACTGTAACGCACTGGATACCACAATGCACTGCACTCTGTAATGCACTTGACACCAAAGTGCACTGTATACTGTAACGGACTGGACATCAAAATGCACTGTACACTAATGCACTGTACAGTGAGGCTTCCCACCTGTTAGCTAGGTGTCTCATCACACAGTGGAACCAAAAGAACGTTACATCACTTCTACTTTCAAAACGAAACGTCATCACTTTCACACCTGCAAATCATGTAGTGTTTCAGTCTTCTATTCTAATATATATATATATATATATATATATATATATACATACAGTATCTCACAGAAGTGAGTACACCCCTCACATTTTTGTAAATATTTTATTATATCGTTTCATGTGACAACACTGAAGAAATGACACTTTGCTGCAATGTAAAGTAATGAGTGTACGGCTTGTATAACACTAAGTTTGCTGTCTCCTCAAAATAACTCAGCACACAGCCATTAATGTCTAAACCTCTGGCAACAAAAGTGAGTACACCCCTAAGTGAAAATGTTCAAATTGGGCCCAATTAGCCATTTTCCCTCCTTGGTGTCATGTGACTTGTTAATGTTACAAAGTCTCAGATGTGAATGGGGAGCAGGTGTGTTAAATTTGGTGTTATTGCTCTCACTCATACTGGTCACTGGATGTTCAACATGGCACCTCATGGCAAAGAACTCTGAGGATCTGAAAAAAAGAATTGTTGCTCTACATAAAGATGGCCTAGGCTATAAGAAGATTGCCAAGACCCTGAAACTGAGCTGCAGCACGGGGGCCAAGACCGTACAGGACAGGTTCCACTCAGAACAGGCCTCGCCATGATCGACAAAAGAAGATAAGTGCACGTGCTCAGCGTCATATCCAGAGGTTGTCTTTGGGAAATAGACGTATGAGTGCTGCCAGCATTGCTGCAGAGGTTGAAGGGGTGGGGGGGTCAGTCTATCAGTACTCAGACCATATGCCGCACACTACATCAAATTGTTTTGCATGGCTGTCGTCCCAGAAGGACACCTCTTCTACAGATGATGTACAAGTAGTGAGTACACCCCTCACATTTTTGTAAATATTTTATTATATCTTTTCATGTGGCAACACTGAAGAAATGGCACTTTACTACAATGTAAAGTATAGAGTGTACAGCTTGTATAACAGTGTAAATTTGCTGTCCCCTCAAAATAACTCAACACACTGTCTAAACGACTGGCAACAAAAGTGAGTACACCCCTAAGTGAAAATGTCCATATTGCGCCCAAAGTGTCAATATTTTGTTTGGCCACCATTATTTTCCAGGACTGCCTTAATCCCCTTGGGCATGGAGTTCACCAGAGCTTCACAGGTTGCCACTGGAGTCCTCTTCCACTCCTCCATGACAACATCACGGAGCTGGTGGATGTTAGAGACCTTGCACTCCTCCACCTTTCATTTGAGGATGCCTCGCAGATGCTCAATAGGGTTTAGGTCTGAAGACATGCTCGGCCAGTCCATCACCTTTACCGTCAGCTTCTTTAGCAAGGCAGTGGTCATCTTGGAGGTGTGTTTGGGGTCATTATCATATTGAAATATTGCCCTGCGGGCCATTCTCCAAAGGAAGGGGATCATGCTCTGCTTCAGTATGTCACAGTACATGTTGGCATTCATAGTTCCCTCAAGGAACTGTAGCTCCCCAGTGCCAACAGCACTCATGCAGCACCAGACCATGACACTCCCACCACCATGCTTGACTGTAGACAAGACACACTTGTCTTTGTACTCCTCACCTGGTTGCCGCCACACACGCTTGACACCATCTTGGTCTCATCAGACCACAGGACATTGTTCCAGTAATCCACGTCCTTAGTCTGCTTGTCTTCAGCAAACTGTTTGCGGGCTTTCTTGTGCATCATCTTTAGAAGAGGCTTCCTCTGGGATGACAGCCATGCAGACCAATTTGATGCAGTGTGCGGTGTATGGTCTGAGCACTGACAGGCTGACCCACCCCCACTTCTTCAACCTCTGCAGAAATGCTGGTAGCACTCATATGTCTATTTCCCAAAGACAACCTCTGGATATGACGCTGAGCACATGCACTCAACATCTTTGGTTGACCAAGGCGAGGCCTGTTCTGAGTGGAACCTGTCCTGTTAAACCGCTTAATGGTCTTGGCCACTGTCCTGCAGCTCAGTTTCAGGGTCTTGGCAATCTTCTTATAGCCTAGGCAACCTGTGGCTATCCAGCTGTTGCAGGACTACAAGTTCCATCATGCCTCTGCAAGTCATAGCTGTAACTGTCAATTTTGCAATGTCTCATGGGAAATGTAGTTCCACAACAGCTAGAGAGCCGCAGATTGCTTACCCCTGGACTAGGCCATCTTTATGTAGAGCAACAATTCTTTTTTTCAGATCCTCAGAGAATTCTTTGCCATGAGGTGCCATGTTGAACATCCAGTGACCAGTATGAGTGCGAGCAAAAACACCAAATTTAACACACCTGCTCCCCATTCACATCTGAGACCTTGTAACTCTAACAAGTCACATGACACCTTGGAGAGGGAAAATGGCTAATTGGGCACTGACATTGACATTTTCACTTAGCGGTGTACTCACTTTTTGATGCCAGTGGTTTAGACATTAATGGCTGCGTGTTGAGTTATTTTGAGGGGACAGCAAATTCACAATGTTATACAAGCTGTACACTCACTACTTTACATTGTAGCAAAGTGTCATTTCTTCAGTGTTGTCACATGAAAAGATATAATAAAATATTTACTAAAATATGAGGGGTGTACTCACTTTTGTGAGATACTCTGTGTATGTGTGTGTGTGTGTGTGTATATATATATATATATATATATATATATATATATATATATATATATAAATCTGTATTTTATTTGCTTGGAGGTTAGCTTTATCATTTATCTATAAAGAATAGTTATTAAGGAAGCACATAAACTGTGTAAGACAGACAGCTGACACAGTTGGCCACTATTTACAATGGTTGTTTAATAATGACCTTTCGCTAGTCATGATTACTCTTTGTATTTCTCTGAGGAAGAACAATTGATGTTCTTAAAATATTTTTTTTGTGTGTGCGCATTTTTTTAATAGGTGCGTGTCAAATAAATAGACTCAGAACGATCATTTTTCTGAAGTGTCTTTTCAGAGATAAAATGCTTTTTCGTCTGTCAGTTGCCATGGTTACAATGCTACATGATCTTTTCAAGAGCAGTTTTGCTTTGCTGGTAGACAATTGCTTTGTTAGGAGTGGCATTATCTGCATATTTTAAAGGTGATAATTGAATTCTGATATTTTTTTTGTCCTGTTTGCAGTACTCGTCATCTGTGCTTTGTTTCTATGTCGTTGGACCATAATTTATTCCACAGTGAACAGAAGAAGTAATTTAAACAAATATAATTCTGTTTTGAACCATTTTGTTGAGGTGTTAAAGGCTGTCAATGAAAAGCTCATTAAAAACTGATTTGTATAAAGCATAGTGAATTCTAGATAGATCCTTACATTTTGAATATAGCATGTTATCAGGGACAGAAAATGAGCAATCCTCAGAATGTTAAAGGTTAAAAAATATATGTCTATAGTTACTTTAAATATAAGTTTGTAGAGATTCCCATTCCAGACCCCAACTCTTTCTGAATAGATCATAAAATAAGTGAACCAAATTGGGGTCTACCTTATGTTAAATATTTCAGGGCTGTGTCCAAATTCATTGTAGATGGTCCATTTCTTGAAATATTGGATTATAATATTAAGCAGCCCTGCTTGGTGTATACTTCACATTAAAATGATATTAAACCCAAACCAAAAGTGTTATAAACTGCAGCTTTTACCAGTCACTAGATGTGGTGACTGCATTCGTTTTTTTTTTTCCGCTATCTGTTTTCATCTGGTGATCCAGGCAGTAACACACCTTCTCTATTAGAGTGCTCCCACTCTGGATGAAGGAGCACAGGGGAACCTTTGGACAGCAGCATTGTCAATCTGGGGGGAGGAGAGTGTTAGCCCAGGTTCACACATGTGTGGTGTGGTTTTCAGGTCTGTTTTCAGTGTGAATTTGCAAAGTAGTTCAGCAATTCAGCTGTGATTTAGATGAGAATTGGCAAGTCAGGTTTTAGGAGTGGACGGCCGCCATGTCCTTAGCAACCGATGACTCATCATCTGTCAGCTGCATGTATACAAAATAATTTTCGGCACTGAAACGAAAAAAAAATTGTGTTCCCCCAACACCCCCCCCCCCCCAAATTCATTCCAGGGCAACGTTCAATGTGATTGACGCTGAATATACTTTGGGAGACACTATTTTTGGTCTTTTTGATAAAGGACTTGTCAAAAACTGTCTCTGTGTTTTTAATTTTTGACACTTGTTTTGGTAAATGAGCAGGGGTACAATGTTCCCCAAACTCATTTACATAGGAGAGGCCAGGATCTGGTGCCCCCTTATTGAAGGAGGCTTCCAGATTCCAAAAAACCCCCTACCTACTGACCCCCACTACCACTGTCCAAGGTTGTGGGGAAGAGGCCCTTGTCCCGATCAAGGGGCTTTGGGAGTGGGGACCTGTGTCTGTGTCTCTCCCTCCAGACTTTAACCACCTCCCGCCCGCCATATAGTAATATGACGGGCGCAAGGTGGTTCTCTTGTTCTGGGAGGACATCATATGACGTCCTCCCATTCCCACTGCGTGTACGCGGCTCGGACACAGTGGATCACCGATCACGGAAAGAGCTGAAGATGTCGGCTCAGTCATGTGATCAGCTGTGTCCAATCACAGATGATCACATGTAAACAGGGAAATGTCGGTAATCGGCATTTCTCTCCTCTTGAGCTGTCACGCTGACAGCTCGAGAGGAGAGGAGAGCTGGTAATCGGCTTTCCGCAGAGAAGACATGTACACTGATCATCAGGGCACTGATGATCAGTGTGCCCTGATGATCAGTGTAGCCCCAGCAGTGCCACCTGTCAGTGTCCATCAGTGCCAGCTGTCAGTGCCACATCAATGCACATATCAGTGCCTACCAGTGCACATCAATGCCACATATCAGTGCCCATCTGAGCTGCCTTTCAGTGTCACCCATCAGTGCCACCTATCAATGCCAATCAGTGCCAGTCAGTGCCGCCTATCAGTGCCAGTCAGTGCCGCCTATCAGTGCCATGTATCAGTGCTGCCTGTCAGTGCCTATCAGTGATGCCTGTCAATGCCAATCAGTGCCTCCTCATCAGTGCCACCTATCAGTGTGCATCAGTGCAGCCTCATTAGCGCACATCAGTGAAGGAGAAAAATCACTTATTTACAAAATTTTATAACAAAAACTAAGAAAAAACTTTTTTTTTTCAAAATTTTCTGGTTTAAGAAAAAATAAAAATCCCAGAGGTGATTGAATACCACCAAAATAAAGCTCTATCTGTCACAAAAAAATTATAAAAATTTCATATGGGTACAGTGTTGCATGACCGCGCAATTGTCACTCAAAGTGCGACAGCGCTGAAAGCTGGAAATTGACCTGGGCAGGAAGGGGGTATAAGTGCCCAGTAGGCTTGTGGTTAATGACATCTCAGTCTTAGTCCGTAGGGCTCAATATTGAGTTGGCCCACCCTTTGCAGCTATAACAGCTCCAACTCTTCTAGGAAGGCTGTCCACAAGGTTTAGAATGTTTGACCATTCTTCCAGAAACGCATTTGTGAGGTCAGGCACTGATGTCAGACGAGAAGGCCTGGGTCACAGTCTACGCTCTAACTCATTCCAAAGGTGTTCTGCCATGTTGAGGTCAGGGCTCTTTGCAGGCCAGTCAAGTTCCTCCACCCAAAACTCGCTCATCCATGTCTTTATGGACCTTGCTTTGTGCACTGATGCGCAGTCATGTTGGAACAGGAAGGGGCCATCCCCAAACTGTTCCCACAAAGTTGGGAGCATTAAATTGTCCAAAATGTCTTGGCATGGTGACGCCTTAAGAGTTCCCTTCACTGGAACTAAGGGGCCAAACCCAAACCCTGAAAAACAATCCCACACCATAATCCCCCCTTCACCAAACTTTATACTTCGCACAATGCAGTCAGGCAAGTAACGTTCTCCTGGCAACTGCCAAACCCAGATACGTTCATTGGATTGCTAGACAGAGAAGCGTGATTCGTCACTCCACAGAACACGTCTCCACTGCTCTAGAGTCTAGTGGCAGCGTGCTTTACACCACTGCATCCGACGCTTTGCATTGCACTTGGTGATGTAAGGCTTGGATGCAGCTGCTCGGCCATGGAAACTCATTCTGTGAAGCTCTCTACACACGGTTGTGCTAATCTGAAGGCCACACAAAGTTTGGAGATCTTTAGCTATTGACTATGCAAACAATTGGTGACTTCTGCGTACTTCTGAGCACTCTGCTCTTCAGCATGCGCTGCCAAACCCCGCTCTGTCATTTTATGTGGCCTACCATTTGATGGCTGAGTTGCTGTTGTTCCCAGCTGCTTCCACTTTGTTATAATACCACTAACAATTTCATGGGTGGACTTATTGCACAGGTGGAAACCTATCACGGTACCTTTCTTCAATTCACTGAGCTCTTGAGAGCAGCCCATTCTTTCACAAATGTTTGTAGAAGCAGTCTGCATGCCTAGGTGCTTGATTTTATACATCTTTTATGCCAATGGAGGTGATTTGAACACTTGAATCCAATGATTAGGAGGGGTGTCCCAATACGTTTGGCAATATAGTGTACATATAATTACAGGGTTAAAATGAAATGCATGGAAATGGCTAAATGCACACTAGAAGCATGTAGATCTGTTGGCTTCCTGCTTCAAATACTAGGTGGGCAGATTCATGTCTATGTTCAGGGATCAGTTGGCCTTCATAGTTGGTGCACAGGTGACCCTGCGGGATCAGTTCTGGCTGAAATTCTGGTGATCTTCGTGGCACCAAACTGGACTTGGTATTTGGACATTCTTTGAATTCTGGAAGATGCTCCATGGGGGATTCCCAACCAACCCAACCGACTGTTTCAAGGGCCGATCTATCCTGCTTCACAGTCGCCATGGTGTTTTTCCTTATTGCCTGATAAAAAACTGAAGATAGTTGGAGAGAGAGGTTATTTGGGCTGTCCTAACAACTTGGTTTGCCTATGTCCTCACCTAAAAGTGGCAACATATAACCTATGGTCTTGATTAGTCAAAGCCTGTGTCATGTATTATACTCAAAAGAGAAGGATTTTATGAGCAAGATTTTACAATCTATAACTAAAATAAAATCAATGAAATTCTTGTGTGCAACTCAACAATTTCAACCCTGCACCCTGGAGAATTAGAAAACCAAAATGTAAATAAATATGTTATCATTAATATTCAGATGAAGACCATAACTCTTCATATCCTGTATCCTCTTCCACAAAAAAACCACTGCCTTAGTGAGACCCACTTCCCGCAGGACACTCCAGACTATATTGCATCTCCTTTTCATCGCGCTTGTTTTTTAAAAATTGCACCACTTCACACTCATCAGCCAGGTTTCCAGCTTCACCTCCTTCCAATGGATAAACTCAACAGCTTCAGTTAGTGGAAAGGCCCTGCTACGATTGAAGTTAATGCCACCAATCCCTCCAGATCAACTTTTGCCTGGCCTGCCACCTTTGGCGGAAATGTATGAACAAACAGTTATACTGACAGGAAGAATCACTGAACTAGCACGGTGCTCTACAGCGTCCTGGTAGTTCATTGAGAACTACAAGCCAACAGCCACTAAGGCTGTCAGGACTTGTAGTCCATTCATTCACAGAACACTCTGAACTTATCCTTCACCTTCAATTGTAGCCTGGCCTGGTCACCCACTGAAGCTAATGAGTTTATCCATTGGAAGGAGGAGGAGGAGCTGGAAACCTGGCTGATGAGTGTGAAGTGGTGCAATTTTTAAACAAGAGAGATTAAAAATGAGAGGCAATATAGTCTAGCGAGTGCGTGTCCTGTGGGAAGTGGTTCTCATTTAGGCATGTGGTTTTGTGTGGAAGAGGATAGGGGATATGAAGTGGTATGGTATTCATCTAAATATTCATGATGTACATTGATTTTGAATTTGAATCCCATGTGGACACTGGCTGTTTTATTTGCACTTTTTGTATAATTTAATTTTTTAACACTTCCTCAATTTTGTATGAGATTTGTTATAACGCCACCTTACCTGTGTTTTTGGTTTGGTCAACAATGTATGTGGTTTAACTAAAACAAAACCTATATAATCATTTTAATTATTATAATATATAAAATGTGGTATCATAATGTAAAACAGGCAGATTAAAAATGTAACATACTATGTTATCTGCATTTCCACTCATGGACCATTTTGGGAGATATACTGTAACCATTATATTTAATTCATCCATCTATGTTTTGTTATTTGCTTTGAATTTAAAAATGAACATATTTCAAATAAATAAAATATTCCTTCTTTCTAGGTTGACGTTGCTGTTGTACATTTTACACCCTTAATACAGCCAAAAATTGAGCAGCCATTCAAACTTGTAGAAAAAAGTAGTCCAGAGTGTTTTCCAGTACAGAAGAAAGTACTGCCACCATGGACTTTCGTAAGTTTTGCGTGTGTGTCTGTATGTAATTTCTTTTTATATTTTCATATAGTCTTTTATACATCTTGTCATTCACCTGATCATTTCCTCCTTTACTTTGCATTCTATACAGCCCTAACGCTAGTCTGTAAATTGGACTGGATCTGAGGGATTAAGGGGGGGCTGAAAGGGCTCAGTTAAATGTGCAGCTATCATTGCAGCCCCTCTGAAAAATGATCTGTGGCAGATCACTTTTCAGAAGGTTTTTTGATAGGCATTGAGGAGGAGATATTTCACCACCTCGCTGTAAGTTTTAACCTCACTGACCACCGTGCTGCACACAATTGCTGTATGACCCTTTTTCATTACTTTTTGCTGTTGCTGAAGCAGACCATCAGGCCATGGCATGTGTGCAGCCCTGAGCAGCGGCATCACCTTGTACAAGAAATTAGGGGGTGTGGGGGGGGGGATAGAAGAGGAGAGAGGGGATCTGAGGAAAAAGAGGGGGGGGTGGTCTGAAGACCAGAGGGAGGTGTGGGGTGGGTCTGAGAAGGAGAGGGAGGTGTGGGGTGGTCTGAGGAAAAGGGAGTATGGGGGGGGGGTCTTGGGGGGAAAGGGGTTGTGGGGAGGGGCTCTGAGCAGAAGGGAGGTGTGGGTGGTCCACGGAGGGGAGCAAGGGTGTAAGGGGGGGGGTCTGGGGAGAAGGGAGGTGTGAGGTGGATCTGATGAGGGGGTGTGGGGTGGTCTGAGAAGGTAGATGTGGGGTGGTCTGAGGAGGAGAAGGGAGGTGTGGGGGAGGGATCTGAGGAGGAGAGGTGTGTGTGTGTGTGGGGGGTTCTGAGCAGAAGGGAGGTCCACGGAGGGGAGGGGGGTGTGGGAAAGGGGGTCTGATGAGGGGGGTGGATCTGATGAAGGGGGTGGGGGTGGTCTAAGGAAAAGAGAGGGGTGTGGTCTGAGGAGAAGGGAGGTGTGGGGTGGTCTAAGGAAAAGAGAGGGGTGTGGTCTGAGGAGAGGGGGTGTGAGGGGTCTGCAATAAAGAGGGGTGTGTGGTCTGAGGAAAAGAAGTGTGTGTAGGGGGAGTCTGAGGAGAATAGGGAGGTGTGGGGGGGGGGGGGGGGGGGGTCTGAAGAGCAGAGAGCAGTGTGGAGGGGTCTGAGGAAAGGAGGGGGTGTGGGGGGGTTTAAAGAAGAGTGGGAGGGAGTCTGAAAGAGAGGAAGGTGTGAGCTTGTCTGAGAATGAGAGGGGGTGTGGGGGGTTCGAGGAGGAGAAGGGAGGTATTGATGGGTCTAAAGAGGACAGGGGATGTCAGGTGGTCTGAGGAGAAGAGGGGGTGGGGGGTGGGTCTGAGGAATGGAAGGGAGGTCTAAGGCATAGTTGCCCCCTCCTTTCCCGTTATACTCACAGTTAAGCTAGAAGTGTCTTCTTCCCATCTCTAGTCATGTGACATGTCATAGGACAAAGTGAGAGCTAATAAGAAGAGCAGTGTGCCCTCGCTACTCAGCAGAGTAGCAGTCTCAGTGCAGGCTCTCCATCTACCCCTGCAGGCTGGAGGGAGGAAAACGACAGAATCCTCTCCCCAGCTGAAGCTGGGGACTCTCTTCTTGTGACAGGAGGGAATAACTCCTGTCAGTGAGGAGCTGCACAAGCAGCTAATTCACCAGCAACCCTCCCTCCTCTTGGCCCTAGTGACACTGTACTATTCTGGGGGCTGATCCGTTTTTTTTTGTTTTTTTTTTTGGTGCACTTTGATTGCTGTAACAGCGCTGATCACTGTAACAGCAGTGAACTGTCATGAATGGGTTACATTCATAACAGCTGTGATTTAATATTGTGTGTTGTGCTTGGCCCACAGCTAGCACATTGCTGATATTGGACCAGGTACCATGTGATAGATTGTGGGGCCAATCACAGCATCACTATAGCAACCACAGCTGTTATGAATGAAATTAATTCATAACAGCTTTGTTGATGTTGTAATCATGTGATCTGTGGGCCCTTCCCCCCCCCCCCTAGTAAGGAGGGGAATAGGAATCAGCTGTTTTAATCAGTTTAGGTGAAAGGGATTTCAGAAGAGCTCTGAAGCTAAGCAGTTGAAACCCATATGACTGGAAAGTGATTTTGTAATGACCTTGGCCTCTACCAGTCCACAGCCTAATAGTGAACACATCAGTCCTGTTGCCTCCTAGGAGCAAGCAACCTTTGGTAGATTGATGAGTGGACAAAGGCCATCCAGTTGGATAAGAAACGTTTTAAAATTCCAGGAAATTCTGCTGGCCCATTGTGACACTTGCAGTCCTGTCACTAGTGATAGGCTCACTAGAGAGGGCAGAGACACTACTAATTTACCAAGTTTTTTATCCCTCACTGATGGAAATTCTGCAGAATCTTACTTCCCAAAATGGGAATGATGCTGTGGAAAGGGTTAGGTATTTTATGTTCTTTGTATAAGGATCCTGACACTGGTAAATTGTCACCAGTGACAGGATCTCATTTCTGACTTAACCCTAAAGGTTCACAAAGTTTTTTTTTTTTTTTCTTTTACAAAACTACTACTAATATAGATTGTACATCTTTGGTAATTCTCTTTATAAACTCATTTTGTAGATTATTGTTTCCAGAAGACCAACGTAAAGAACTCACTAGCAAAACGCTAATGCTAGCTAATGTTGAACAAACATTGCGACCAACAGAACTGACTATTAAACATTTCCACGATTTATGCTGTGCATACAGAGAACTGTGCGACAAGGATCCTGAATTGTTTTCCTTTAACTTCCGAGAAGAGCTTCGTCAGAAAAGGCTGAAAATTGACCAGGGGTTAATTAAAGAAGAGGAAATCATAACATGAACAATATGAAACTTAAGACTTTGCTCAAAATAGATGCCTATTTAATATCATCTTTATAGTGTTTCTCACTGCAAATTTAACATTTAAAAATATGTGTGCTGATCCTCAAAATAAAGGTCATTGATCTCAAATATATTAAAACATATATATTGTTCAATGGTGATGCCTACATTACTGGGAAGTCTACTTGCCCTCAATGCTGTATATGCTGACCTTTG